TTCCCGGGGGGCGTTGGGGGACCCTTGGAAACGTGGGGGTTTTTTTTCAGATTTTCTGGGGGAGTCAGGAAGTTCTTTTTTTTTTCCCGGGGGGGGGGGGGGGCAAGTATACGCGTGTGGTGTGGTTGTTTTTCTCGACGGCCCGTCCAGTATTCTGGTGTGGTCTTGGTGGCATTAGAGACAGGGTGAGCGTAGGGACGTGCGTGTGTGCGCATGTTATGAAGAAAGAGGCATCGTGAGGTTTCTGTGTCTGTTCGCCAGTTGTCTTTGCAGCAGGTGTGCGGTGGCAGCTCGTTCTAGCCGTGTCAAAGTCAAGTTATTTTTATACATGCTCACCTGCGTGGCTAAGCACCAACAGCAGCATCTACAACAAACACCCAGTACGTACCTTGTAGCGTGGAATCAGCTCCTTGAGCTTGCCCGTGACGTTCTCACTACGAGCACTCGCCGCCTGCTCCGCCGCCTTCAACTGTTCTGCTTCGCTTTGCAGCTGAGAAAGGCTTGACTGGATAGGGTGTTTCGGGAAGACAGCGGTGGGGGGGTGCTCATGGTTTCTCTACGGCAGGTCAACGGTGCTGAAGCAGCTCGAGCATCACACCAATTGGTGTGGGTTCACAAAGGGGGTAAGCGAGCCTCCAAGATCCGCTCAGATCGCTAGCTTCGGCATCGCGCAATGTTTTGACTTCTAGCTTTACACTAAATGCTTGGGGCGGGGCGGGGCGGAGGGGGGGGGGGGCGGGTCGACCCACTGTTGTTACGCTTCAAGTGATGGGGCGTGTGGACTGATTTACCCTGGTGGGCAGACATAGTATCCATGTGAGCATGTGAGCATCTGAGCCGAAGCAAATAAACTCTTTCGTCAAAAACAGACAACGCATGTCCCCCCGTCCCCGGCATACCTGTGCGGCTGCCAGCTCCTGGTCGCGCCGCTCCAACTCTGTCTTGGTGTCGTCCGCCATCTTCTGCAGCCTTTGCTCCATCTCCTCCTTCCCATCTGCCATTTCCTTGCACTTATCAACAAGCTGGAGTTGGACGAACAAGGAGGAGCACGGGTGCGGCGCGAGGACGAAATGGAGCTGAGGCGGGGCGGCTTGGGGGGGGGACAAGGCGGTGGGAGATTTGGCGGTCAGGTGCGGCGCAAACGTTGGGGTTCCAAGACTAGGCGCGGCACCCAGGCGCACCATCAAATGGACGGGCGGACGAGCCATACGTGGGCACGACGCGGTTGATGCATACACTTAGCAGCAAAACACTCAGTCTCCCGGCGCTCTCCCAATGTACCAAAAATATGTACCCACGAGTCAGCCTTGCTTCCGCTTCTTGTCCCCTGAGGGAAACGGGAGGATATCTCGGTGCTTGAAGGATGACCTGGTCAAGGCGCAAGGCTGCAGAACCGAAATGCACGACTGAAAACAGCTCAACCCCCCGTCCGGGCTACCTGTGCAAGACGACAACGCATCACACACACACAGCAGCAGCAGCAATCACCCATACTCGTTCGCACCTCTGTTCTCCCTGCCGTGGCCTCTTCCAGGGCGTTGGACAGCTCTTGCGCCTTTCTCTGCCCCCCCTCCTCCGCCTCCTTCAGCTGCTCCTCCAGCAGCCCCAGCCTCTCTTCCAGCTCCTTGATGGTGCGGTCGGCGGCGGCCTCCGCCTCCGCCACGGCCGCCACAGCCGCGGTCTCGGCCTCCTCCAGCTTCTGCCGGCCGGTCGCCTGCGCCAGCACCAGCTCCTCCCGCTGCGACTCCGCCTCCGCCGCCGCCGCCGCCGCGGCCTCCGCGGCCTCCTTCTGCGCCGTGACCTCGACGACCCTCGCCTTCGCCTCGTCCAGCCTCGCCGCCAGGTCGGCCATCTCAGCGGCGGCGGCCTCGAGCTCGCCGCGGAGGCGGGCGGCCTCGGCGGCGTGCTCCTCGTCGGCCCTTTCCTTCTCGGACCTGAGCTCCGCGGCCTGTCTCCTCGCCTCCTGGTCGTGCTGCTTCAGCTGGGCCTCGAGGTGCTGCTCCACAGCCATCCTGCCGCCGTGGAGCTCGTCCTCTCTCGCCTCGGCTTCGGCGGCCGCAGAGGCGGCGCGGGCGTCCAGCGCTTCGACCTTGAACCGGCGAAGGCCGGTAATTTTCGAACGCACGGGGGTCGTGCAACGGCAGGGATAACGCATCATGACCCAGAGCCTTCTGTATTCGGGATGTTCACATGAGCAACCAACCCGTAATTACTTCGAGTTTCGATTGTGTGTCATCTAGCCTATTAGGTTATTCATCGCGTCGCACGTTCATATCGTGTCAGATACCGTCAACTCCACGAAGCAATTCGTGCACGCCTACCATTGTATGAATCACGGGAGAAGGCGAAGCGAGCGAGAGGTGTGGGCATTTCAAATGGGCGCCACGGGAAATCTGTGTGTGGTACGTTGCGAGGACTTGGGGGGGTACTCATAGTCATGCATGCCGTAGTCGTTAGACCATTGACCTCGCATCCCTACAAAGCCGGGACGGAGCACGCCGGGTTCTCACCGGACCAGGCTCGCATCACCAAGCGCGAAGCGCCGTGAGGTATTCGGCGAGTGGCATGAAGGGTGCGCTGCATCCTGCTAAGGGTGCTCGGCAGCTTGTGCTTACTTCTTCGCGTACGGATGGCAGATGCGTATGACTTAATTTATGTTCTGGTGCTTTCACTTCCAGAGACAGTTGTAAGCAACTGTGTAACTGCCTCGACTGTGCTTGACGGGGGTGGAGTCGACTAGCTTTGCTCACGGTAGCTTGACAAACCAACCTTGCAAGCACGGTTCGAGCATCATTCGTGCCGGTACCGGCATCTGATGTTCACGACAGAGCGAAGCCACGCGACTGCGGTTTCACGACTCTCTCTCTCTCTCTCTCTCTCTCTCTCTCTCTCTCTCTCTCTCTCTCTCCCCCCCTCCCTTCTCCACACCCACACCTGTGCCAGCGCTTCGGCGAGCTTCTCCTCCGTCTCACGCCGCTCGTCTTCTTGCCTGGCCTGCTCTCCTGCGGCCTGCTCGCGGAGGCGTTCCACCTCTTCCCTGACGGTCGTGAGGTCGTTCTCGAGACCGGCGACCCGAGCGGCAGCGGCGGCGGCGGCTGCCTCTGCTTCTTCCTCGCCCTCCTGCTTGCTCGCCTTGATCTTCTTGCACATGCCCACGAGATTCTGGATCTTTTCCTTCAGCTGCACATACGGTGTCGTGTTCGGCGAGCCATTGTACAGACGGGACGGGTTAAGGCGGGTGCAATGAGTGGGGAGCGGCAGGGGGGGCGGGGGGGCGGGGGGGGGCATGTGTTCCGTATTTTACGAAGAGCAACCACCGCTTGTGGCTGCGCGTCTCTAGCAGATACCATCAGTTTCTGGCGTGTCAAAACGATGGACCGATCTATCCCCCTCGCAAACAACAGCCGTCATTGGCGTTCCAGCGCCTACACCTCACGCTCATCGCACGCTCCGAGCAAGCTAACACGCATCTATCATACGCTGGACAATCTCCACCCATCACCGTCGCCAAGACGCAAAAAAACATCAGAGCGCACGCCCGATCCGAGACACAATCCACAGAAAGTCGCCAACCACACCCATCCACTACCTTCTCAGCGGCAGCTTCCGCGCCCTCCGCCCTCTGTCGGAGCGCGTCCGCCTCGGGACCCGCGGCCCCGGCCCTCGACTCGGCTTCCTCTGCCTCCCTCCGCGCGGCCTCGAGCTCCCCCTCCAGCCCCCTAACCGTCTCGCCCATCTCGGTAGCCTCGCGCGCTCTCTCCGCCTCGGCAGCGCCGGCTTCCTGCCTCTGAGCCGCGAGCTCCTGCGAGATCTCGGCGACCCTGGCCTCCGCGGCGTCTCTCGCTCCGGCCGCTTCCTCCGCGGCCGCCACCGCTGCCGCCACCGCCGCCGTCTCCTCCGCCAGCCGGGCCGACAGCAGCTCCGCCCTCCCCGCCGCCTCCCCTTCCGCAGCAGATGCCCTCTCCGCCGCGGCGGCTCTCGCATCCTCCGCCGCTTCGACCTGCCCGCGTAGAGTCTCCACCTCCGCGGACGCCCCCTGCCGCGAGGACTCCGCCTGGGCGACGAGCCGCTCGACCTTACCCTCGGCCTCGGCCAGCGCCGTCCTGACCTTCTCCATCTCCCCGACGAAGGCCTCCCTAGCGACCGTGGCCCGCTCCGCGTCCTCCGCGGCGCGGGACTTCGCGCCCGCCTCGCCCTCCCTGGCGCTGGCCGCCTCTTCCCGAAGCGAGTCCGCCTCCCTCGCGGCAGCCTCCTTGACCGAGGCGAGCTCGGCCTCCGCCTGCTCCGCCCTCGAGAGCGCCGCCTCCAGCCGCCCCCTGGCGCCGTCAACCTCCTCGGCGAGGGCGGCCCGAGCGTCTTCGGCCCCGGCCACGGCGGCGGCGAGCTCTGCCCGCAGCCCGGCCGCCGTCGCCTCGGCCTCCCGCTCCACGGTGGCCGCGCGGCCCCCCAGCGCGACCGCCTCCTCCCTCACGCCGTCCAGCTCGGCCGTCTTCCCCTCCAGCCGTTCGGCCGCGGTCCTGGCGGCGCCCTCCGCCTCCTCCAGCTGAAGCCGGAGCTCGTCCGCCGCCGCCCGGGCCGCCCGCAGCTCCTCGGAGGCCGCCTCCGCTTCGGCCGCCGACGCCTCCCCGGCCTCCACCTCTCGGGCTTTCGCCGCCGTCTGGGCGACTTCCAGCTCCGCCAGGAGCTCGGCGGCCCTGGCGATGGCGGCCTTGGAGGCGGCGTCGAGCTCGACCGCGCGGGCCTCGAGGCGAGCGTGGGACTCCCTGAGCTCCAACAGCTCCGCCGCCAGCGCTTCCTTCTCGACCCTCAGCTCCTCCGCCTGCCTCCTGGCCTCCTCGCGGTGCTGGTTCAGCTGGCCCTCCAGGTGCTGCTCGACGGCCACCCTCCCGCCGTGGAGCTCGTCCTCCCTAGCCTCCGCGGCCTTGAGGGAAGCCGTCATGGCGGCCACCTTCGGCGCGGGGAGAGGACCAAACATCGGGAAAGGGTCGGCAGGGCGGCCGCGATTGGTTAAAATAAAGAGACGGTCGGACAGACATGATCGCCAAAAAATGGGGGATGTCATATAAAGCAGTACCGTTGGCGTGGAATCTTCTCTCCTCGGATGCGATTCATACGGGGCCACGTTCGTGACAATAGTACTTGGGACCAGCGCATCATTGACACGGCAACAGGCGAGGAAGCATGTCACGAGACAATATCAAAAGGGCATTCCAAAACGAGAAAGCCAACAATCACGACGTAGAAACACGACACATGGAGGTTTCCCGGAGGCTGATGGCGCGGTACGAGGACTCACTCAACCCAGCGCTTCGTACACAAGACACAAACCATGCATGCCAACACGACGGTCTTACAAGACAACAAACAACTTCTGACGGCCAGCCACGCCGGGCTGGGTCGGGTTTTTCTAACCCCTCCCTCTCCACACACCTGAGCCTGCGCCTCGGTCAGCTTTTCCTCCGCCTCGCGCATCTCTTCCGCGCGTTTTTCCTGGGCCCCCGAGGCGTCCGCCCGGAGGCTCTCTCCCTCCTCTCGGAGACGCGCGACCTCCGCACCGGCCTCCGCTGCGGCGTTGTCTGCAGCCGACTGCGCGGCCGACGCTTCCGCGAGCTTCTCCTTGAACGACTCCAGAGCCGATGAGGCCTTGTCCTCCGCGTCCTTCAGATCCTGCACCCCCCCACACAAAAGACGAAGTAAATAAAAAAATGAATAAATACACCGTGGTTCGGGCGCTAGGGTTTGAGGATGGTTCGGCAAAGCAAGGTAGATGGGTAAATACGGGTGGCGCAGGCGATTGCAAGGAAGCCGGCGGCGGCCACCTCTGGCGCATCGCAGCCTCAGACGTTACTTACCCCGCATGTATCGCATTACCATACTCCACAACTATTCCGTCCGTATCGACTGCCACATACGTAGCGCATTTTCGTGCCCCCAGTAGTAGTGGCTGGGGCGGACGGGGAAACAATGGAAAGCGTGAGGTTTCGTCAGCCTGTCTTGCATACGCGCGCCTCGTCCCACCTCCAACTCCATGCGAAACACGGACACAAACAACAAAACGCAGCCGAGGGTCCGCACCCACCGACCTTTCACATGCAACAAAATGCTCAAGCACTTGCATCAACGCAAAACCCACCTGCTCCAGCTTCTCCTTGACCTCTTCCGCGCGTGCGGTTGCCTCTTCCAGCCTCTCCCTCGCCGCCCCCACTTCCTCCTCGCGCCTTCTCGCCATCTCCTCCGAAGTTGCCTGCCACCCCTGCGCCGCCCCCTGCGCCCCCGCCAGCTGTGCTTGCAGGGTCGCCACGTGCTCCGACTCTCCCTTCGCGGCCCCCTCGAGCTGGGCCTCGAGACGGTCGATTTCTCCTCGGGCTTCTTCCTCCCGACCCTGCGCTGCCTTGCACTCGTCGGCGAGGGCTTCGCGCTCCTGGTCTAGGGCTGCTTGGCTGTCCTCGGCGGCTGCTAGGCTCTTCTCGGAGGCTGCCGTAGCCGTCTCCAACTGTTTTTTTTCAACGGTATGGTGAAATTATTAGCCAGCGATACGTAGAGAAAGAGAGAGAGAGAGAGAGAGAGAGAGAGAGAGAGAGAGAAAGAGAGAGAGAGAGACGTTTAGGGTTTAGGGCAGCCATGTCTTAAGAGGGGCCACGCAGAGAGACATTTTGGGCAGACATCTGTCGAAGAGGGGCACGCGGCGGACGGCCGCCAGGAAAAGCTCAAAGCTCTTGGTTGGTGGTTGGCATGAACGACGTGCGGAACCTCGGGAACGCCACCCAGCCAAGTGGTCTATGAAAATCGAACATACACCAGAGAGCTTTAACAGGCAGACGGTCTTCGCCAACCAGGAAATAAACAGCGTATGCTCCGCGCGGGCACACGCGCACATACACACACCTGCGCCTGCGCCTCGGCTAGCTTCTCCTCCGCCTCGCGCATCTCTTCCGCGTGCTTGCCCTCGGCCCCCGATGCCTCCGCCCGGAGGCTCTCTCCCTCCTCTCGGAGACGCGCGACCTCCGCACCGGCCTCCGCTGCCGCGCTATCCGCAGCCGCCGTCGCCTCCGAGAGCTGTTCCTTGAGGGATCCCGCCTCCGCCCGCGCCGCCTCCTGCGCCCCCGCCAGCTGCGCTTGCAGGGCCGCCACGTGCTCCGACTCTCCCTTCGCGGCTCCCTCGAGCTGGGCCTCGAGACGGCCGATTTCCCCTCGGGCTTCTTCCTCCCGACCCTGGGCCGCCTTTCGCTCGTCGGCGAGGGCTTCGCGCTCCTGGTCTAGGGCTGCTTGGATCTCGTCAGCGGCTACCTTGCCCGCCTCCACCTTTGTCGATGGCAAGCATGGTGGGTGGACGTAGATGTGGGTGAGAGGGGCAGGATACGTGTAAGGCTTAAAATTTACCACAGACAGGAAAGTGCGGCGGGTCAACGTATCATGGGTGGGCCGAATAAAACGCGGCAAAGCATTCCAACTGCTGCCGGGAGCCTCACAAGTCGATACAACTACTGTCGACACCCGTGGCTGGTGTTCGACACCCCGTGGCTGGCGTTCTGAGGAAATAAATCGTGAAAAACAAGACTACCTCTCGCCTCGAACGTTCAGTTGGTAACCTCGGAAACGAGTCTCTCTGGAGTGGACAACTCTAGACGTGGAAAGCGCGGAAGCCGTGCGAGTAAACACAAAAAAGAAGGAAGGAAAAGCTGCACCGGGGGGCGGTGGAGATTCACAAAAGACGAAACTCACTGCCTGACGTTCCTCCTACTGACCCCGGCTGGTGCGCCAAACGTACCCCTCAACGTGTAGCCTGGTGCCCACACGCACCCTAACGCTGCGTCCTTCCATATGCCCCCTGTCGGCAAAACCCTTTCACTGGGAAGCGTGTTCGGAGCTATCTATCCCGCAACAATAAGACTGGCGTACTTTCATCGGTAAGCCGATGGTTGGAGTTTTTCATTCCGCTAGAAGACTGACGTATTGTAGGTCTGTGGCTAGCCGGTTGGTGCGGCCGACGCTGACAAACAAAAGCACACACGACACACACCTGCGCCTGCGCCTCGGCTAGCTTCTCCTCCGCCTCGCGCATCTCTTCCGCGTGCTTGCCCTCGGCCCCCGATGCCTCCGCCCGGAGGCTCTCTCCCTCCTCTCGGAGACGCGCGACCTCCGCACCGGCCTCCGCTGCCGCGCCATCCGCAGCCAACTGAGCGGCCGTCGCCTCCGAGAGCTGCTCCTTGAGCGATTCCATCGCCGATGATGCTGTGTCCCCGGCGACCTTCAGTTCCTGCTCGAAGAAAGTGACACCCCCCCGAAAGGCCACAGGGCAGGACGGAATTCGGGCGCAAGGGTTGAGGATGGCCTTCTACCAGAAAGGGCACCCTTTTCTTCGAAGTTATCAGGATAAGCCTACATCGTATCATCGCATGGAATATGACCACATCACAAGAACACCCGGAAGCGGAAATTTCCCGCAAGTTCCTCCTTGCCGGCATTAGCATGGGTCCTCATTGAGGACGGCAGAGGTCGAGGCTATCGAGGGCTTCAGAACACTTGAGAACCATACTTCTGCGTTCCTTCCCACCAAACTACACGCGAACCACGGTAACAAAAAAACAATATTAGCAGGCGAGGGTCAACACCCTCAAACACTTGCATCATCACAAAACAACACAAACAAGTCCCCACCTGCTCGAGCTTCTCCTTCACCTCTTCCGAGCGTGCCGTCACCTCCGAGAGCTGTTCCTTAAGGGACTCCACCTCCGCCCTCGCAGACTCCAGCTTCCCTTCGTGCTTCCTCGCCATCTCCTCGGCAGCCGCCCGCGCGGCCTCCTGCGCCCCCGCCAGCTGCGCTTGCAGGGCCGCCACGTGCTCCGACTCTCCCTTCGCGGCCCCCTCGAGCTGGGCCTCGAGACGGCCGATTTCCCCTCGGGCTTCTTCCTCCCGGCCCTGCGCCGCCTTTCGCTCGTCGGCGAGGGCTTCGCGCTCCTGGTCTAGGGCTGCTAGGCTGTCCTCAGCGGCTACCTTGGCCGCCTCCAACTGTGTTCCATGGTGGGCATGTGCGGACAGACGGGTGGCAAGCTGAGTGGGACATTCGGTGACCGAACGAAACGGGTCGCGCGGGAGATGCGGCACAATGCCGTGCAGATCTCGTACGGCCGAGCCGTGGCCGCTTCGGGCTCTTCTGGCGCACGGGCAAACGAGGTAAATGATGCCGCTAACGACAGACACAAACGACAACGAGAGGTTATATCTCTTCGCGCGCTCGTCATATAATACCGACTAACACAATCAAAAGCTGGCGAAAACACACCGCGACACCCCGCGAGGGGCGAAACGCGTCATCGCCGCCCGCCTCATGCCCAAAACAATGAAGAACGCGCCTTTCCTTCCCCAACCTGCGCACCTCTCAACCGCTGCCGGCCCCGCTCACAACACAACACAGAACAACCTACGCTACGCTGTTGGCAAAAACAATTTTCAACACGCACCTGCGCCCGCGATTCGGCCAGCTTCTCTTCCGCCTCGCGCGCCTCCTCCTCGTGCTTTCCCCGCGCCGCGACCGCCTCCGCCCTGAGACCCTCGGCCTCCTCCCGGAGACTTCCCACCTCGGCACCGGCCGCAGACGCCGCTCCCTCCGCCGCCGCCGTCGCCTCCGACAGCTGCTCCCGGAGGGTCGACGCCTCCGCCGCCAGAGTCGCCAGCCTCTCCTCGGTGGCCGTCTCGGCAGCCCTCAAGGCCCCCTCCGCTTCCTCCAGGCCGCGCGCCTTGCCCTCCAGCTCCGCCTTGGCGGCCTCGAGCTCGGTCTTCTGCGCCACCGCCTCGTCTCGGGCCTCGCGCTCGAGCGCCCGGGACGCCTCCAGGTCGCCCGAGAGCTCCTTCTCCGCCCCGCGCAGGCGCTCCAGCTCCTCCTCCGCCCGCCGCAGGCTGGCGGCCACCTCCTCCTCTCCGCCCCGCCGCTCCTCGAGCTCGGCGATCCGGCCCTGGGCTTCCGCGGCGGCGGCGTCGGCGGTCGCTTGGAGCTCAGCGAGCCGGGCGGAGGCGGCGGCGACTGCTTCCGCGAGGCGTTCCTCCTCTCCGGCGCGCGCGGCGGCGAGCTCCGAAGCCGAACCTTCGGCCTGCGCCTGCAGCTCCCGGTAACGCCCGGCGAGGTCCTTCGTCCGGCCGAGCTTTTGTTGAATCGGGTTGCGTGTTTTGGCAGCAGTAGAAGCAGAGCAGATTGAAGGTCGAGGGGTTTTTGGCAAGAAGGCGGGAATACGGACATCAGAGTGAGCAGGTGCTGACTGAGAGGGACGTTCGTTTGGTTCCATGGCGTCTGCTGAATACCCACAAGGACAGTGACGCTATGCCGGCGACGGATAAACCGCGGGGGGAAAACCTGGTCCGCATGATCTGCTCCATAACATCGTTCCGCAAACCAACCAGACGCGGGAACCCAACCATCCATCTCTCGAAGACACTATTTTGTCTCAAGAAATATAGCACGATAAGCGGCCGACCGACGAAGTCCTAGCGGGAAACGCAGCATGTCATTCGCGACCCCAACAAAAAAGAAAGCAACACAAAAAAAGGCCAACAATCCCACAATGAAAGGGGCCGGGAGCGGGCGGCAAATCAACCAAGGACAGCAAAAAAAAACAAGTTCCTACCATTTTCTCGAAGTCCGCAGTCTTGGCCTCGAGCTGCGTCGAAACCTCCTCTTTCTCCTCTCTGGACGCCTTCAGCTCGCCGGCGAGGCTTGCCACGCTGGCCTCAAGAGCAGCCACGGTCTTCTCGGTCCGCTCTCCTCCCCCAGCGGCGGCGGTAGCATCGAGCGCCGCCAGGCGCTCCACCGCCTCCTTCAGGGACTCCGAGGCACGCCCGTGCTCCGCCTCGGCCTCCTCGCAGCGGCGGGCTAGCTCCGCCGCCCTCTCATCGGCGGCGGTAACTCGCCGCTCGGCGTCCGCCAGCTGCTCGGCGACGTCGGAGGGAGCCACCGCAGCCGTAGCCGCGCCCTCGCCGCCGCCGCCGCCCTCCTCGCCGCCTGCCGACCGAAGCTGCTCCTGCTGGAGCGCCCGGAACCGTTGAGCTAGCTCCCGCAGCCGGGCCATGAGTTTGTCGTTCTCCGCTTGCTTGAGGTCGAGCTGGGCCTGGAGGCCACCGCCTTCTTCTTCCCCCGCTTGCGCAGCACCAGCAGCACCAGCACCGGCGCCGCTGCCGCCCGCCGCCGCCGCCACCGCCACTTGCTCCTTGAGGGAGCGGCACGTGGTCAGCAGCTGGCGCACCTTCTGGACGAGCTGCTCGTTTTGCGACTGCTTCTCGGCAAGAGCCTCCTGGTGGGCCTTCTCCTGCTCCTCCAGCTTTTCCTTGGCCGCCGTCGCAACGCCATCCTCGCCGCCGCCGGCAACAAAACCACCCTCGCGCGCCACTGCCGCCTCCGCCCTCTGCACGGCTTCGTCCTTCTCTTGGGTGACCTCTCGGAGCTGGGTCTGCAGGGCGGCGATCGTCGCGCCGAAGTCCGGGTCGTCTGCGCCACCAGCAGCGTCTTCTCCTGTCTCCTGTTGCGCTGCGGTCGCCGCCGCCGCCGCCTCCGCCTCCGCCCGCTGCACCGCTTCGTTCTTCTCCTCGGTAACCTCTCGGAGCTGGGCCTGCAGAGCTGCGATGGTTGCGCCGAACGCCGGGTCGGCACCGCCCTTGGCGCCGTCCCCGTCGTCGTCTGCGCCCGGGGTTTTTTGGTCCTGAAGCTCCTGCACCTGTTCCTGCAGGCCCTTGATGGAACCCTGGGCCTCCTTGTACTTGGCGATCAAGACCTGGCGCGAAAGAAACGAGAAACCGATTCAGTGGTGTCGTTCTCAAACGGACTGGTGCAACCCCTCGAATATAAAGAGCATCTACAGAAGGGTTGCGAAAACAAGCGCTCAACATAGTCCTTGGGGGGTAAGTGGCAAATCGTTTTTTGTCCAGACTGGTTGCTTTGTATGATACAGTAGCGCCCCATAAACAGAGAAACCACATCTACGACTGAACCCATACAATCGATTGCCTTGGACTATGCAAAAAGGTGTCATAAGCCCCAGTCTCTCGAAACACGACCACACCGCGAGTGTGGTCGTGTGTTCAGAAACAGCACGTGCGGATTCGAGTCCACCTGCCGCCCAAGGACAGACTAGCTAAGCAGCGGCAACCACCATAGCCCATAAAAAGACAAAAACGGAGAGAGCTCTAGCCCCTCATCTAGGTCACCTTCATTTTACTAAGAAGATTGTTGTATTCAGCGCTCTGCTGAACACCCTCCGCGCTGGTCTCCAGGGCTCTGGATTGTTTTCATGAACAAAATCGCGGCGAAGAACACATCGGAACGAAAAATAAAATTCGGTCAGGGTCAAGATTTGCACAAATTGTGTACGAGGCTTTTGGGGGGGCGGTCTTGCTCGCTGGTTGCGACGAGGGTCAGAAAGTGGCGTATGTGCTGTGGATAGACAAAGGGGTGTGCATTCCTCTCGTGTAAGCGACAACAGTCGAGAGAGTCTGACGACAGGTGCCTTTTCCAGCAGAAGCAAGGCTGCTGTATGTGATGGGGATTTTCGTGTTTCGTTTCGGGGTTTGAGGGTAAGGATAGGGTTGGGTTTAGGGTCGGTGTTGCTCGATGTGAAGGATCCACGTGCACAGGCTGAACCTTGCGGGAGTACGATGGTGGGTGTTCTTCTGAAGACGCTCTTCGAAACCATGGCCGCTTGTCACGACTACTCGATCGGCTCATTGGACCCTTACCGCTTGGCCTTGCCAAGACACAGGAGTACACAGGTTATTGATGTTTCTTTACAAAGAAATGCTGGCATCCTACCCGGGGCCAGTGCAAGCGCGTGTGTCTGTGGCGGGGGGGCGGGACACAAATGCCAACGGCGTTCAAGCGAAAAAAAAAAACTTGCCTGAACTTCTCCTGCAGAGCCGAGTAGCGCTCGGCCATCTCCTTCACGCCCTCCTGAGCCGCCTTGCGCTCTTCGAACGCCCGTTCCAGCTGCTGCGCCGCCGCTGCCGCCGCCGTGCCATCTCCATCAGCTTGAGACGATGTGGCCTGAAAGACGCGGCATATCGAGCTGACATTTAAGGCTCGCTCGCAAAACATAGAGTAGCGACAGGATCACCCCGGGACACAGCAGTACGATACCGTCCAGCGCAGAGAGCGCGCGCACGTTGGGGGGTACATCGAACGGAGCTGCGGTACCGTTGCATGGCCATATTGCTTGCAGGAAGTACCCTGCAGTATTTCTTTGTAGGGCTTGGGGTGCTTGGTACAAACGTAAGCTACGGAGGTGAACGGGGCTCTTTTTTGTTACTGTACGGTGGGACTGAATGCAGTTGTTGTAGATTGGTGGTTGGGCGTGCGCGCATCCCTCACCTCAAACATGCAGTTTGTGCCTGTCGAAGGTAGGCCAGTGCAAAGCCACCGTCGAAACATTCGAAATGATATATGTTCTTCGTACCTGCTGTTGCAGCGCCAGTCGAAGCTCCTGAACTGTCTGCTGCTGATCGGCGTGTTCGTTAAACGTGCCAATGTACTGCAGTGGACACGCGGCGGAGGAAGGGCAAAAAGCGGGCCATGGTTCAGAAGGGACATTTCTTCAGAAAAGCAGCCGGGGGAAAACATCAGATGCACACAGATAGATCCGATCCTATGCTACACACCATGCAGAGGCAGGCAGCAGCTAGAAAAAAAATAGCACTTCGATTCACACACGATAAGAGTGGAATCGGAACTTCCTTTCGCTCACAAACACGACAACCGCAGTCGTCCTTTCTATCTTGCTGCCCCGCCCACCTTCTGCTTGAGCTTGCTGTACTCTTCCTCCACGATCTTGAGCCTTGAAGAGTGGTGCCTCACCAGAGACATTAGCTCGTCGTTCGTGGCGTCCTGCAGCTTCTTCTTCGTGCCGCCGCCGCCGCCACCGCCGCCTCCGCCGATGGCAGCAGCACCTGTGGGCACCCCAAAATGTGAAGACGGCGGCATAACATTACTCGGGGAAAATAACAAAATAACCACGTACTAAATATATATTTCGAGCAGCGGCAAAGCGGGTGATGTACAGTCCTCTCATGATCATCATGTTGACGATTTGTGGTTTATTTTCGGTCAATGTCTTCACCCTTGGAAACTGCTGTTCTCTGGTGACTACCACTGTGTGTCGACATCACGTGCTGCAGGCCTGCAAACCTCTGTTGCATGTAGACCCACACAACGTACAAGAACGCCCACGCTCACAGATTTCTCAACAAAAATAGCGGCCGCCTGTTCGTGGTACGAATGGTTTTCGTCACATGTGTAGTGTGCTCACGTTCTACACGTGAATTCATTGGTTTCTGCCATTCAGTATGTACGGACGATCATCCAAGAATGCTGATCTATTTTTTTTTTTTCTTACAATGACACAACGAATCCATCTCTATCATAGAAAAGAGTCTGAGACAGATTAGCAATGAATTCATAGCGTCAGAAAGTACCTGTATGTCTTTGAAAGTTCCAACCCCAAATCGGAGATACAAGCAATCTCCGTCAGGCTCATGGACAAAAACACATGTCCTGGCATCGCACCCTAAATACCAGTTAACCACACACAGCAATACGTCACATGTTGCACTGTAAAATGGACGGCTGTGGGAGGTGCTGCTACTAATTTGTTTTCAATACGCACGTTGTTTTGGCAGCCGAAAGCTTGCAATTTGAAACTTGTCGGTGTGCAGCAGCGATCATAATGCGTGTTCCATTTAGGTCGTGGACGGATGATGCCATGCGGGGCGGTGATGCACATGAGAAAAATGAAAAATATTTCCGGTGCTGTACATTGCCGGTGTGCATGGATGAGGCCTTGCGCTTTCAGCTCCTCCGCCACCCCCGGTTATCTCTCCAGTATCAACCCTCGACGTACAAAGAAGTCCACCCATGGAAACAGAAGAACATGTCAGGGGTGGTGCTCTGTGGCCCCGTGTCCTGTTGTGCCGCACTATCGACACAGTGAGGTTCGGGGCTCGGATATCTCCCACCCTAGCATACCGTATATGACACAATATAACACACCCCCTGGACCGATTTTCAAAGCTCGATTACTCCACGACGAAGAGGATGCATAAACGAAACAATACATTTTCGAAAACCTCTCGACGAGACGGTTCCAACGCCGCCGTTTTCGGCGCTGTGACTCTTCCTGCTGTTGAGAAATCGAGGTTTGAAAATCGGCCCAGGGGGTGTGTTATCTTGTGTCATATACGGTACATTTATCCGCACCCGTACTTCGCAAGGCTTGCGCCGATGCAAACCACCCAAATGTAGGCAAACAAACAGATAGGTGTGTGAATCGAGTAGAGGTCATACGTACCCGACGAAGACGACGCCGCTCCTCCAGCAGCAGAGTAGGCTGGGGGATGGCTGCTACTGCTGTTCTCAGCTACTGCTGTGGAAGGATTTGTGTCTCCTCCGTCTCCTCCTTCCTCGTCGGGAGGGGTGAAAGCTGTTGCCGCCTGGGACTTTAGTTCCCCGGCTGTCCGCTCCACGCGGTCCTTCAGTCCTTTCGCCCACTCCATACTCCTCCTCGTCAGCAGTGGTAGGCGTGCAACCACTACAGACTAGGCAGGAGGAGAGCAGTGTCGTGCGGTGCACAACGCACTCAAATCACACAGAATAGGGGCTCCGTGCTCAATCAGCCCATACCAGATACGTCCCTGGCAAAAGGATACTGCGGTGCCTCCAAGCCCCAGGTCGACAGAGCTGTGGCAACAGCCACACCTCACGCATCCCACTGCAGAGAGGGATAAGGCCAACGTAGGAGTACAGATAGGCTGAGGTAGTGCTGTTCAGTCTCCTTAGGGGTTGATTGGACTGTGGAGTCGCACGCATGCCTTGGAACGACGGGCGTAGGAAGGTGGAAAATTTGAAATTTTGAGTCCGATCATACCGCCACACAACAGCAGTCTATATATGCTGCTGCGGGGTTGATCTCTGCGAAAAGGCGCGCGCGCGTCTGCTCGTGCTGGGCTGTAGGGGAGGGCTGGCTCCCTGCGAGGCAAACGATGTTCTCGCAGTACCATGTCCTTGAGCGGATTGGCGAGGGATCTTTCGGCAAGGTGCGAGCTCGAACAAAATAGGCTTGTTTGGTGTCGGCATACAGCAGGATATGCATACCAAGAAGGCGCACAAGTTGATGAGGAAGAACAAAGAAGAGGGTGCTGTCGGCTGCAGGCATATGCACTCTCGTGGCAGAGGGTACAAGTAGCACGTGCTATGCATGGTAGCTCTCCGTTACTGATTGGTCATCTGTGCCGAAACGGCGGGAATATCATCTCCTGTACGGCTTGCTGGGATTCCTGCGTGCAAAGGTGTGTTTGGTTCAAATTTGAAACATCGTCGTCGAGTCGATCACATACAATTTGTCCGTCCTCTAGACAGCGCAACACACACAAGTCTAGACGTGTATACATGACGAAGTAGTTCTACAGGAGCAGCATTCGTTTTGTCGTAGCCGGTTCACCCCCCGTAGTGCAGTGGCTAACGTTGCAACCTTCTGGTGGTGAGATGTGAGGTCGAACCTCGGCGCAAGTGCGCAAGTGGCGATTCAAGAAAGAGAAAAATACACTGGAATACACGGAAATGAAAGTCGCATTCGACGAGGGAGAGGGAGGACCCGCCTGACTCCTCATTACAAGAATGGTTTACAGATATCATATTTGAAGGTAGTCACAAAAGCGCGGGAGGTGACTTCTGGATATGATGAGGTATCACCACGTATAGGTAGAATCAGGAATCTTATCTGCCGACGCGAATGCATGCTCCTCTTCAATGATCAAACTCGGCGTCCGGCGCAATTCTGTTGTACGGCCGCTGGTTGTGGTACCTTGTTTGCTCAAACTCGGGAAAGGTCACTAAGAGACGTGCTGTGATCAATCGCGTTTCGCCCCCCTTTGGTACTTCGGAAGCGGTTTTTTGCGTACAGGTGTGCTTCGTGCGGGTGTATAGTATAGTCTTGGTGTCTGAATCTCAGGATTAGCCGGACGTCCTGACACGATGAGGAGTGTTCAAGAGTTTCTTGCATAACCTGCGAACGTACTCATGTACCCGGTTCAAATATCACATAAGAACGATGTGCGGTTTGAAACCGGGTACATGAGTACGTTCGCAGGTTATACAGGAAACT